GTTGTGGGTGGGACATTCTGTAGACATCTATTAAGTCCATTTGTTCACAAGTTTGGTTCATTCTTTGTTGATTATTTTGTCGAGTTAATCTAGTTGTGACAAGGGGTATCAAGGTCTCCCATTACAATTGTACTAGCGGTTATTTGATTTTTCATGTCCATTAATATTTGTTTTACATAGTTAGGTGTGCTGGTATTTGGTGCTTGTTATGCTTGTTATCTCTTCTTGGATTATTACCTTAACAAGAATGTAGTGACCTTCTTTATATCTCTTAATCAGTCTTGGCTTGAAATATACTTTTTATGCAAATAGAATAGTTACCTCTGTTTTTTTCTGGGTTCCTGTTGCATGGAGTATTGTTTTCCATCTTTTGCCTTTCAGTCTATGAATTTCTTTTTTTTTTTTTTTGTCTTTTTGAGACAGGGTCTAGCTATGCAGTTCAGGCTGGCTTTCAACTCACTTTGTGGTCCAGGCTGGGCTCAAACTCACAGTAATCTTCCTGCCTCAGCCACCTGAGTGCTGGTATTACAGGGATGTACCACCATGCCCAGATCAGTCTATGAATTTATTTTTGAATTAAATGTGTCTTTTGTATGTAGTATATTGTTGGAGCTTGCTTCTTGATCCATTCTGCCAGTCTACTTCTTTTTATTGGTGAATTGAGACCATTTACATTGATGGGTATAACTGATATGTATTCATTTATCCCTGTTGTATGATTTTCCTGTTGTTGATTCTACCACTTTAGTTAACTTAGTAGATTCATTCTATTGGGCTTCATGGAATTGTAGTCTTCAATATCTCTTTCTAGAGTGTCCTTCAGAACATTTTGGAGTGCTGGTTTGGTGGTCATGAATTTCTTCAGATTTTTTTTAATGGAAGCATCTTATTTTTCCATCAATTTTGAAAGATAGTTTTGTAAGGTACATCAATCTGGGTTGGAGGTTGTATTCTTTTAGGACTTGAAATACTTTACTCCAAACTTTCCTTAACTTGAGAGTTTGTATCAAAAAGTCTGCTGCAATTCTGATGTGCTTTCCTTTACAGGTGATTTGTTTCTTTTGTCTAACAGCTTTAATGTTCTGTTTTTGTGTGAATTTCTGGAATCTTGACTATTATATGCCTTGAGGTAGATTTTTTTGATCATGGATAATTGAAGTTCCATATGCTTCACTTATCTATATGTTGAATTCTTTTTCCATACTTGGGAAGTTTTCTGCCATTCTTCTGTGAACAGGTTTTTTATGTCATTTGTGCTATCTCCTGCTTTTTCTTTGACTCTGATCTACCTTATGTTATTCTCATTTGCATCATCAAGCAGCTGTTGGATTGAGTTTTCATGGCTCCTTGCTATTTTCAAGAATTTTTTTTCATGATCACTAACCACAATCCTATCATCTAGATCTGATATTCTGTCCTTACATTGGTTTATTCTGCTGTATATACTTTCAATAGAGTTTTTAATCTCATAGACATCTGCTTGAATCTGTTTCATGGATTCTATTTCTTTCTTATGTTGGGTATTCATGGTTTCTGTCATTTTTCTAAGCTCCTCTATTTTTTATGTGTGTCTTCTTTAGATACACTAATCATGTCATTTGTGATGGTCATCATCTCTGAAGTTATCTAAGAAATAATTAATCATTTGATTTTTTTCTAGAGCCTCATTCATTTGCTTTGTTACTTCTGCTGTTCTTACTTCAGAGAGTCCAGGCATGTTGCTTTCTAATTGTTGTACTTCATTGCCCCTTGGGTTTGCCTTTGGCAAGCTGGAGGTCTGGGGTTGCATCCTGCTTCTATGTCTTCTCATTTTCTATTTTTTAAAGTTTAGTTTTTGTATCCATGCTTGTAATTTGTTTATGGTAGGCATCTTTATTGCTAGTATCAAGAACTCTTGGGAAATGAGTATTTCTCAGAGATGTCTTCTATGTGTAGTTGGCTTTTGGGCTTTGTGTCTGTTGTAAGATTCTACCTCTTCAATTTGTTGGGATGAGCAATTGCTGACTTTTTGGCCTAGCCCCTGGCTTTTTGGCATTGGCCTATAGTACTGTTTATGATCCTTTGGTAATCTTGGTCTTGGCATACAAAGAAGAAAAATTGATTAGAACAACTATTTCACCTTGGCTAAAGTAGTACAATCAGTAACAACAGTAGCACCAAACACAGCCTAGAAAATGAGAAACTATAGTAACTCTTAATTTGCCACCTTTAACTGTATGAAGAAGGTTTGTAGTTATATAACAAAATCTAAAAAAAAGCAGAAAACTGTATAGTAAAAATCTCCTCAATATGGTGATTTTAGGCCCAGAGGAGAAAATTTAAAAGGGATTAGGGGGAAAACAGAGAAATAGAGGAAGAGAGGGGAATTAGAAGCAAGGCTGAGGGATAAAGGAAGATTACACAAGCTTTGAGAACTGGTGAAGAAGGCAGGAAGGAAAGAAAGAAGGAAGAAACAGAAAAAAGAACAGAACAAGACAACAGCAGCAATAAAAAACCTAGAAACAATCTTCTCACTCATATAAAAATGAGAACAAACAAATAAGAAAAAGAGGAAAGAAATAGAAAAAAATTTTAAAAATTAAAAAACAAAGAAGGAAAGAAAAGCAGAAAGAAAATGTCTACTTCAGGGCATATCTCTGCTGCTGATGCTTGACAGAGGGATCAGACAGAGCTCAGATACATATTGATTGATCCCAGCAAGCCAGAAGTAGAATTATAGTGGTGGTGGATAATCCCAACAAGCTTGGGCCTTTAATTCCACTGAAGTTCAGGCTGCTTCTGGTTTCTGGCTGTGAGGCTGGTACTTGAGTTTTTTTAGCCCACAACATTCCAGGTGCCTCCTGCTGGCTTGAACTTGGCTCCCTGATGTCCTGCCAGCTTGACCTCAGCTGTGCCTCACCCTAACACCTGGAGCTACTAGATAGAGCCAACCTGCATATTCTCTGAGTTCTGACTTCAGCTGACCCCTTTCCAAAATGGTTACCAGCCAATTGCCCTCTCCTAGGGGGGCATCTGAGTCATGATAACTCATTAGCCACTGTAGCCTGTTTCATCCACTGCTCTGTTCCACTGGTGTATTTCTTCATGGAGGCCTTTGGGATCACCAGTAGGTCATGCCTCTGTAGGTTTGAACCACCCCTCCCATGCCATGAATCAGGGCTTAGGTAGAAAGTGCCAATTGCCACCTCCCTTTTCTGTTTAGTAGTCTCTCTATTCATGCTCTACATGGACTCTTTTTTTTTGGTACCAGGAATTGAACTCAGAACCTTGCGCTTGTCAGTCAGGTGCTTGTGCCACTGAGTTATATTCCCCGCCCTCTATGTGAATACTAATTCTTACTTCAGATCCTTCCTTGGTTCCCAGGACCCACTTCCCTCCTTATTCTGTTCCTCATGTTGTTATATTCCAGCATCTGGATTTCCAGTATTGGTGAAGTTGTTTCTCTGATGCTCATTATGCCATCATCTTCTTGGAAGCCCACTTCTTCATATTATTGTGTTAGTAGTAATATTGTTTGTTCATGTTAATAAGCAATGTGAGAAGAATTATTCAGTTCCTACTTTACAGATGAGAAAACTGAAACCTAGGGAGGATGCATAACTTGTCTAAGGTCAGAGAACTAGTAAATAGGTTTAATACCCAGGTTTCTCCTTCCCCAAACCTCATACTATTCTTAATCATCTCAATACATTAACTAAATAAACCTGCCCAGGACAACAAGCACAGAATATTTGGTCAGCACTTCCAAATTTTGAAAGTGTGAAGAAACGAAACCTTCTTCGATTCTTTGGGTTTAGGAAGTGATAGTGACATTTAGTCTAGTAGAAATAACACAGACGTGAACCCAGGAGCTGGAAGACTGGTACACCTTGCTTATTTCATGCACCAAACAGATCATTTTAAAACTATTCCCTTTTGCACAATTTTTTCAGTAATAATCATGTACTAATCAGTAATGGTCACTACTTTCTTCATTTACTTTTTCATGTAGGAAACACTTAATAAAAAAGAATATATTTTCACTTTAAATAATTATGTATGTTTGATAAAATAAGTTTTATATGTGAACTAAAATTTTCATTCATCAAACAAAACTATAACACCTTGAAGTTTGTATACTGTTTAACTGCTGGAATATTTTGACACAAATACAACTTCTGATAATTACATATATGGCAACTGCAATAACTCAATTTTGATTTCTTGCTCCTTAGAATGTTGTGCCATCATTGTTAATTGGAAGCCACTGTTTAAAGGTAAGAATGTGTAAAGCCACAGGGTTGGAGATAAAACCCTTGGAAGTGAGCTCAGAGGATCTTGACTGGTGTGAACTGTCCCCATGTGTCAGGGCCCACACTCTACCTGGGAGTCCTTGAAATTAACTTCTGGGTAGAACATCATGTTTGTGAAGCAAAATTGATAAACATGTATTAATATGAAGCTTTCATACACATAAGTCTCAACAGTAGTCTAACAAAAGAATTTTGAGGAAAGAATTTTATCAAAAACATTGCTTAGAATTGATGACATACATGATAATAATAAACTCATTTTTAGTGTTGATTTTTTAAAAATGTTATTATTTTATTTTGTACATATTTATTTTGTACATGGATACATGAGTATAATTTGTAATGACCAAGACAAGGTAGTTAGCATTTCCACCACCTTAAACATTAAAAAAATTGTAAATGATAATTTCACATGTACAGTAAATATTGTACATATTTATGAGGTACAATGTGATATTTCAATACAGGTATATAATATGTACTGACCAAGTCAGTGTAATTAATGGACTCATCTCCTTATCAGTACCTTTGTGTTTGGAGGCTTTGTGCCCCTTCTAGTTATCCATGAAAGATATAAGAGGTTATTGTGAACTATAGTCATCTGTCATGCTGAGAAACACTAGAACTTTTTACTTCCGTCTATGTTTTGGTACCTGACAGTACCAAAACACTATCTATTGTACCACTATCTATTGTACCCTGTGCCTACCTCTAAATTCTCTACAGATTATGCACCTTTTATTGCCATTCCTACTGCCCACTCAGTACCCCGCTGCTTCAGGACACACCAATGTGATTCAGGGGTCATTTGATTCTCTTAAGGCATGCTGTGTTGTTGGAAAGCTTTAGGAAGCTTCCTACTTTAATAGACAGTGGGTTCTTTTTGACAGGATTCTCCATCATATGGAGCAGAAGTGACTCACATCTTTACAGCATTCTGATGTCTGCCCCGAGGTTGCTGTAGAAAACCTGAGTAGGGTCTGGACCACAGGGCAGCAGTGGGTGTCATGACTTGGTACTTGCCTTTATTTAGCAGCAGGCAGATTGCAGGCTCCCTGAGGCTGGGGTGCAGCTCTAGGGCTCTACAGCAATCAGAAACAGCAATGCAAGATGGGGTTCATCATCCGAGCACTGCTAACAGCCTGCCGGAGCTGAGTGGGATGGATGGGACAGTACACAAGGTACACTGTGCTGAGCGTCAGCTGTCATGTATTCCTCTGAGCCTGCCAGAGATGATAGCAAGTAACAATTCCTCAGTTCTGAACAAATTATAGAGAAGGACAGCTTGCGAAAACTTACATGAAATTTGGAAAGATTGGAGGCTTTATTCTTCGGAGTTATAAAATTCTCTCAAATTGATGCCCAAGGAGCTGGTGCCAACCAAAGGTCTTTCCTGATGTGCTTTAATGACTGAGAAAGAAAATTTGTGATTATAATTCATGATTGTATTCCATTAGGCCCTGAGTGGTTTAAAGAGAGTTTTCTTTACAGCATTTTTTGACTATAAAAATAATAGAATCATTATAAAAATCACAGAAATATGTTAAGGAATAATAACCATCCACAATTTTATCTTCCAGAGTTAGGTACTATTAATATTTGAGTGAATATAGATTTTAAAATCTTGTTCTTTTCACTTAATCGCAGGCTTAAACACATTCTTCTGTCTTTAATTATTCTGTGCAAATACTTTTAATAGATGCACATTATTTCATTGTGTGAATTTGCCATTATTTAGTCATCCTATCTCTTATCAAGGGACTTTTATATTTCCAATTTTTATATAATAATATTGTGACAAGCATACTTGCAAATAAATCTCTATACATTCCCAAATGATTCCCAATTACGGATTCTAAAACATTGAGTTGTTGGGGAAGGGCATAAACATTTTAAGACTCTTAGCATATATTTCCAGGTTTCTTCTATTACAGATGTTTTGGCCAACTTATCTCTAACCATAGTGTTACAGGAACTCTTTCCTAGCTCTCTCCATTTTTGCAATGTCCTACATATTTCCATGTTTTTCAACAGAGTCACACTGGCCTTGAACTGCCTATGTAGGCCAGGCTGGCCTCAAACTTTTCTTAACCTTCCAAGTGCTGGTCTTCCGGGCATGCGCCACCAGTCCAACTAAGTTCTTCCAATTTAATGGGACAAACTAGTATTGTTCTACTGTAAACTGTTTAAGATGATTGTGGAATTAAAAAATGATACATCTGACTTTTATCCCTGGGACAGAGTTCCATACAACTGGAATTTCCTGATTGAGAGAAGTGTCTCTATTATGTTAACAATATAATTTGGGGTGGGTTCCTAGGTTGTCCCTGGGTGGGAGTTGGTCACAATGGGAGGCAGGTAGAAGGCAAGCAGGCAGGGAACCAGGCAAGCAAGAAAGAAGGAGAGGAGATAAGGCAAGGAAGAAAGGAAGGAAGGAAGGAAGGAAG